CTTTTTCGACAATTTTGTAAAACAATTCTCCTTCTTTCATGAACTCCTGCACTATGAACAAAGAGTCCTGCGTCTCCACGAAGTCTATGAACCCCACGATGCACGGGTGACGCAGGCGCTTCAGGTGCTGCGCCTGCAGCAGCAGCAGCAGCAGCAGCAGCGGAGGCGGCAGCAAGGAGCAGCAGAAGCAGCAGCAAGAAGCAGCGGCAGCAAGCAGCAGCAGCAGCAGCAGCAGCAGCAAGAAGCAGCAGCAGCAGCAGCAGCAGCAGACACAGCAGTCGAGTACTCATTTTCTTCTTCTTTGTTTTTTATGTTTTAAAAGACTTTCAAAATAATTTGATTATTATCAGTGCCTAAATGCAAATATAAATTTGACAAAAAATATTTATCTTAACAACAACTCGGAAGTTTATATATTTTATGAAAGAAATAAAATTAATTTATTCAAAAGTTTGGAGAAAGAAGATGATCAATTGATCTATAAGTTCAAATGGAATCTAAAAAAAGATAATTAATTCACTTAATAGTTTAAATGCATTTAAAAGAAAAGTAAAAATTAATTTAATTAATTTATTTCAAAGTCTAGAATTTGAATTACTTCTGCACTCTTCTGATTTCCACTTTTCAATTTTCCCATTTTCGCATTTTCCAAATTTTTGAACTTTCGCACTTTTGAACTTTTCAATTTATAATTCTTTTTTAATCCAAAACTTTCGCAGTTTTGAATTTAATACAAATTAGATTTTATTAAATTATTTTTTTCCAAAACAAGTGCATTTTTAACTGCAGACTTGTGAACACAATCTATGCATTTTATGAAATTAATATGTTTTATAAAAAGTAGAATTATAAATATGCATCTTATGACGATAACATTAATGCAGATGCATATTTTAAAAATGCAAATTGAATACATTATATATAATTAAACAGTAAAAAGCAGCAGCAGCAGTAGCTGCTGCTGCTGCTGCTACGGGATGGTTCCAGCCACTGCTGCTGCAGCAGCAGCAGCAGCAGCTAGCCGTCCTCACCATCCCAGCTTCAGCATACAACACGCGTAGACGCCTCCGCAGCAGCAGGAGCAGCAGCAGCAGCAGCAGCAGCAGCAGTCTAGAGGTTTACCTCTTTGCGCAACTTCTCGAGTTCAGTTTTGAAGTTTGCATTTAATTTGAGTCCCTTGAGGTCGATGGCCTTCACAGCCAGAACGGCGTCGTGGTCGTCGGCTGCTGCTGCATCCGCCCCCTGCTGCTGCTGCTGCTGCTGCTGCTGCTGCTGCTGCTGCCTGACGCGTTTGCACCTGAAGACTGTGGAGGCGCTGCCAGAGCCAATGGGGTCCAGCAGCTCGTAGACAGCTCCATTGCTGCCTTCGAACCACCTGCCAGTTTCGAGGCCCAGAAGAAACCGCCTATCTGCTGCTGCTGCTGCTGCTGCAGGCTCTGCTGCTGCTGCTGCTGCTGCAGGCTCTGCTGCTGCTGCTGCTGCTGGGGGGGGAGGGGCCGGGGCGCTGGAGACTTGCTGCATTTCTTCTGCAGTCAAGTCGGAAGTGCTGGAAGTGGCATCGGCTCTTTGGGGGCCCTTGGGAGGGGAGGGGGGGGCCATAGATGTGGGGCTGCGGTGTACGAACACCTGAAGGCGCAGCAGCAGCGGGCGCGCAGCCGCTGCTGCAGCAGCCGCCGCTGCTGCTGCTGCTGCTGCTGCCGGGGCGGGGGCGGGGCCCGCAGCTGCTGCTGCAGCAGCTCGCGGGGCGCGGGAAGGCGAAAGACAAATGGCAGAAGCGAATGTGCAATTCGGACGCGGGGCTTGGCTTTGTAGTGTATGTACACTCCGCACACCGCGGCGAGGCCACTGCCACTTGCAAAACTCGACAGAAAGACAAAAGAGAAAATGAAAAGAAAGAAAGGACGCAGCAACTCCGAAACCTCTTCGCCGCCGCTGGCATGCAGCTGGAGCTTCGGTCTGGACAAACGGCCTGCAGGGGGCCCTGGCCGCGGAAAGCTGAGGAGAAAAGGGAAAGTTGCATTTAATTCTCCAGAAGTTTTTTGAACTGCTAACTCCGCAGCAGCAGCAGCAGCAGCAAACCCCGCCGCTGCATGCGGCCCGAAACGCCGCAGCGACTGCGGAAGGAGTGTCGGCCAGCGCCTCCGCCGCGCGCAGCGGCTCTTAGCGCAGAAATGGTGAAAAAAAGCAAAGTTTAGCGCGGGAAGGCCAGGGAAAGCGGAAAGTTTGCGCCTGCAGCCCGTGTGCAGCTGCGAAATGGGGGGCCGGTGAAGACGAATAGCTTTAGTATTGCATTTATTTTGAGTTTAGGAAGTAATTCAACAGATTCAGCGCAGCTTTCCAGCAAGTTAGCGCCGATCGCGCCCGTTTTGGAGCCGCTGTGTCGGCGAGCTGTCTGTACACCGCAGCGAAGGCTGCAGAGTTCGTAGTTGAGTTCAGAATTCCGGCGTCGCCTAGGCTGTGTCTTTTTGTTTGTGGACGGACTTGGACTCTGTTGGCTGAACTTTAGTGTTTTTGCTCAAAATGCTCGTCACGAGTGAGAAAAAGGCGCTGTCGAGCGCCGAGTCGCCGTGTTTCGGCGCTGCGCTGTGCGGGAAGCGGGTCCGGTGCGCAGTCGAAAGCGAGCGATCCGGCCTCTGTGGCGCGTCCCAGCGGCTGATTTTTTTGCAGAAGCTTTCTCAAGACGGCATTCGCGGTGAGAAGAGCTTTGAAACGAACTGCCGAGCCTTTGCGCTCACTTCGAGTCGCTTTCCCCCACGCGCAGCGAGCGCCGCGAAGGGCCGGCTGCTCGCGCTCGCGCGCAGCGCCAGCCAGCAGCAAGAGCTCGCCGACAGCTTTGCAAGGACTGCCGGCGAGCGCTGCGAGCCCCTCTTTGAAGTTCTCGCCGAACTTGCAAAGGCCCTGCGCGAAGACTGCGGGCTTTCCTTCCCCGCAGCCGCGGGGGCCCTCGAGGAGCTGCAGCGCAGCGCCGCGGGCGTCTCCCGCATGCTGCAGCAGCTCACAGCCACGAAGGCTGCGCGGGACTTCGAAAACCAAAAACTTGAAAACGAAATTCAAAACTTGAACGCCAAGGGCTCTCTGATGAAGCGCACAAACGCGCAGGTACACCGCGCCCTCCGGCTCTCTTTTCCTCCATTTATTTCAGTCTTTTGTTATTTTTTGTCCATTTTCTTCTTTCATTTCAGGTCTTTGTCAATTTTTGTTTGTTTTGTTCTTCTATTTCAGATCTTGTGTTAATTTTTGTTTGTTTTCTTCTTGTTTCAAGTCTTCTGTCGAGTTCTGTCTTATTTGCTTCATTAATTTCAAATCTTTCCTAATTCGTGTTTCTTTGGCCCTTTCAATTTCAAATATTTTCTCATCATTGTATGTTATCAATTTATATTTCTTTTATTTTAAATCTTTGTTAACTTGGATTTCTTTTATCATTTCAAGTCTTTTACTAATTTTAATTCCCCTAATTTATTATTTCAAATCTTTTATTAATTTAACTTTCAGCTTCAAGAAAGTCTGGCGGCTTTGAAGTGCGCAATAGAGGAAAAGCAAAGCGGCCGCCAATACCTGGAGTTGGCTGCGGGGCCAATTGCAGAACAAGTCCGCAAAACAAATAAATAAATAAATAAATAAATAAATAATAAATAATAATAAATGAATAAGGACTTATTGTTTTCTTCAGAAGCAGCAGCAGCAGGAGCTGTGCAGCGGACTTCAAAAAGAAATTCAAATTCAAAAAAACGAAAATAAAAATTTGAACGAAAATATTTCCCAAGTCCGCGCGGCCCACGCGGCGTGGCTTGCGGGCCAAAGAGTTTCGCTGCAGCAGCTGGTAAGGAGAATTCAACTTAATTTAATTAGTTTCAAATTAAATGCAACTCAATTTGCTTCCAACTGCTGCTGCTGCTGCTGCTGCAGCAGCGAAGCCGCGCGGAGTCCAGGCAGCAGCAGCTGCTGCTGCAGCAAGAAGCAGCAGCTCTTGAAAAGGAAATTCAAAAACTCGAAAAAGATAAAACAAATGAAGAAGCTGCACTTCTGCTGCTCAACGCCCAAGTCGACAGCCAGGGCTTTTGCCTGGAGCTGCTGCTCTCCCATGCTGCAGCAGCGGAAGAGGAGATTTCGAATTTCAAACAAGTAAAATAAATAAATAAATAAATAAATATCTAAGTAAATAGAGAAATAAATTAATAAATAGAGAAATAAATTAATAAATAGAGAAATAAATGAATAAATAATGAGCAAAAGTTCCATTTAATTCAACTTTGCATTTTGGCATTCAAAATCCCCCAAATGGAGGCAAATTAACCCCAAAGACGCGCAAATTAATTAAAAACTTTTTAAAAACTTTTAAATTCAAATTAATTTTTCTTTTCCAGAAATTCGAAGAAGTGCAAAAACGCAAAAAGGAACTTTCCGAAAAAATCGCCGAGACCGAAAAGCTCTTTCCTTCGCTGCTGGAGGCAGTAAGCTGTTATTGGAGAGAAATAAAACATTTCACATTTAAATTCAATTTAAAAACAAACATTTCGCATTTTTATTATTTAAAACAAGTATTTCGCATTTTAATTCTTTTTGAATTCAGATCGAGGCCGACGAAGCCGCCCTGAAGCAGCAGTCGAGGTGAGGGCGAAGAGCCGCAGCAGCTGCAGCAAATGCAGCAGCAGCAACTTGTGCTTCTGCAGCAAACTGGCAGAAGCTGCTGCGCTGCAGCAGCAGCAGCAGCAGCAAAACAATTTGCTGAAGTGCGAAATCGGCGAAGTCCGCAGCGCAGCAGCTGCTGCAGCAGTTTGCATTTCGGAATTGGAAAAGGCGAAACGAAGGTCGATTGAGGCGGCGCAGGAAAGAGTGAGTGGCCATTTTAATTAATTTTAATTAATTTTAATTTGTTTTAATTTATTTTTATTCATTTAATTCATTTTATTCCCTTTTATTTCAATTTACCCCCGCAGGCCAACCAGATCTTCATGTTTGCAGAAGAAATGCAAGTCCAGTTCAACGCAGAAGACTCTCCCGGCGAAGTCGCCGCAGCAGCAACAGAAGAGGCGAACGAAAGAGTAAATTAAACTTAAAATTGTTTTTAATTTATTTAATTTATTTTTATTTATGTATGAATGCTGCTGGACTTCTTTTCCTGTTTCATTTCTGCCCCGATTTGCCTGCTTTTTGGCCTCATTTTCTCAATTATTTCCCTTTTTTTGCGTTTTTTGGTCTTTTTAACTTTAATTTATTCATTTTTGTTTATTTTTCTTTTTGATTTCAACTTATTTACTCATTTATGTATCTGTTTATTTATTTGTTTTCGATTTCAGCTGGAGAGGCTCAAGAGCGCTCTGCTCTCGACGCGAAACATGGAAGAATCGGCGAAGGGGAAATGCGTTGAAATTGAAAAAGGTGATATTGGCATTTTGGAGTCCAAATAAGTCGAATTAATGAGAATTAAAACACATCAAAGGATGAATTAATTAATTCTTTCTTTTTAAATGTCTATTTGTTCTTTTTGCCACAAAAACCACCTCGAAATGAACTCATTTGCTTTCTTCTTCAGACCTTTTTTCTCTTGAAAGAGAACTCGCGGCCGGCCGGCAGCTGCTGCAGACAGCAGGGAGTTTGTGCAGCAGGTGAAGTCGAGGATATGAAAATTGAGTTTCGAAAAAGAATTAAATTGAAAACTAAATTGAATTTAAATTCGATTTAAAGGGACTTGAAGGGCCACTTGGAGGCCTTTAATGCAGCAGCAGAAGAGGAAATCCGGGAAGTCACTGCGAAAATAAAAGAAGCAAAAAAAGTGGAGGAAACAGAAATGCAAAAGGTCAGAAACTACATTAGTTTGCATGCGGCTTTGAAATGGCAATAACCTGAAGTGCAATTACAACCAAATGCAATTCATTCTTCTCGAAAATGCCCCATTTGCAAGGACCATTATTGCTGCTGCTTGCACAGCAGCAGCAGCGATTGAGAGTGCTGCTGCTGCTGCTGCCGCTGCAGGCGCAGCAGCAGCAGATTTAGATGCTTTTTGGATTTTTTAAAAGTGTTTAATTCCCCATTTGCAGCTCGAGGAGGCGCAGGGGAAGGAGAGGGAGGAAAAGGAAGAAAGAGGTTTGTTTTAACTTCGAAATTAAAATTAATTTATTTTGTTTTATTTGTTTTTTGCTGCTCTTGCGACTGCTGCAGCAAAGTGGGAACAACTCCTGCAAGACTTGAAATGCCCAAGTTCAGAAAAGAGAAAAGAAATCGCCAGCGAGGAGGTGAGAATTCATTCAATTGTTATATTTAAATAAATAAAGAATTTGGATTAATTCTAATATAATAATTTCAATTAATTCTAAAATAATAATCTAAATTAATTCTAATTAATTATTTGAATTAATTCGAAAATTAATCTAACCTTTAAAGCCAAATCGAAGGAGCAGCGGAACTAAAGAGCCGCCCACAAAAACCATTTAGTTCTCTTTTTCTTTCCTTTTCATTTCTTTTCATTTTTTATTTCATTTCTTTTTCATTTACCTATTTTTCTTTCCTCTTATATTTCTATTCTTATTTTCGATTTATTTGCTGCTGTCATTACAGCTGGCGATTTGCGACGAGAATTTCCGCAAAGAAGTCCAGAGGCTTCGAACTCAGCACGAAAAGGAAATGAAGGACTTGGAGCAGCAAGTGAGCAGCAGCAGCAGCAGCAGCAGCAGAAGCAGCGGCTCTTGCATGCACTGGAATTTAATCAAAACACTTGCAGGCGGCGGAATTGAAGGAAAAAGAAAAGAAAATAAATGGAAAAGGAATGATAAATGAGAAGGAAATAAATAATGAAAAAGAAATAAATAATGGAAAGGAAGTAAATAAAGAAAAAGAAATAAATAAAGAAAAAGAAATAAATGGAGAATACAAATTCTCCGCACAACGCCACTTGCTCTCCGCCCGCAAGAAAATCCACTCGCGGCGTCTTATTGGGTCCGTTTTACCTTTAATTCTTTTTTATTTTAATCAATTTCAATTCATTTCAATTCATTTCAATTCATTTTAATTCATTTTAAATTTTATTTTTCATTTTATTTCCTGCAGAACTTCGGAGACAGGCGGGGCCTCTCTTTCGGTGAGTTTGAAAAGGTTAAAAACAAAAGTCGAATAAACTTTCAAATTAAATTTAAATAAAAGTCAAATGAAGATTTGAAGTTAAATATTAAATGCTGAGTCTTCTTCTCATCATTGTCCCCGCTTCCGGTGTACAGACACCCCACTTGCATGCGCTGCGGGAGAAGCTGGCGAGCAGCAGCAGCCAATTCAGCAGCAAAACGAAGTGCGACTTTTCGGAGGTAATTCATGAAACTTTAAACTGAAAAAGAAAAAGAAATAAAAGAATAAATAAATAAAAGAATAAATCTATAAAAAGAAATGAATAAATAAAAAGAATAAATAAATTAAAAAGCCTAAATATACGAAAAAGGAAAAAAATTAAGAATAAATGAATAAATGAATAAAGAAACAAATAAATAAATAAATAAATAAAGAAGTAAAGAAGAATAAAGTAGAAGGGACTGAAGTGGAAAAGGAGAATTTGAAAATGCGAAAATAGATTTCTCGCTTCTCCTCAGGTGTCTAGACACTCGGGGCTCTTCGCGCTGCAGACGAACAGCCAGCGAGCAGACTCGGAGGCAAGTTGGTCGAAAAGATAATAAAATAATAAATTAAAAATAAATAAAAGAATAAATAAAAGAATAAATAAAATGATAAATGAAAGAATAAATAGAAGGACGGTTAAAGGTAAATAAGAGAACAAAGAAAAGAATGATTAAAAGAACAAATGAAAAAGTAAATAAAAGATACATAAAAGGATAAACAAAAGATGAAGAACGAATAAAAGAACGAATAAAAGAATGAATAAAAGAATGAACAAAAGAACGAACAAAAGAATAAACGCACGGATAAATAAAAGATAATAAAAGATAAAAGAGTAAAGCAAGAACAAAAAGAGACTCCGTAAACGAGTCGTTTGAATAAAATGCGGGTTTTGCTGTTGGAAATGATCGGCGCTGCAGACGAAGTCCACAAAGGCACAAAAAACGGGAAGAAGAAGTGGCGGAGATATTTCGTTCGACATTTTCGCGCAGTGACTTTGCATGCGGCTGGGGTGTCTGTACACCTCAGGCGCCCGCGGGCTGTCTGGACACCGCAGACCGGCCCCTTTCCCTTCAAGTCCACTCAACTCCAGCTTCCACTTCGCTGCAGAGGCAACAGCCACTTGTATGCATGCATGCATGCATGCATGCATGCATGCATGCATGCATGCATGCATGTGGGGACCTGATTAATCGATTGCATTTTTCAGAAACTGCTTTCGACTCCGCCAAATCCAACAGTTCAAAACAAAGTTCAAAACAAAATTCAAAAATAAAATTCAAAAATGCAACTCCACTTCCCTGTCTTTACACCTGAGGGACATTTATCTTCAAGTCCCCGCCCACGCTCTTCGCTTCCCCTTCCGCCCCCAAACTGCCTCCCCAGTTGCTGCTGCTGCTGCTGCTGCTGCTGCTGCTTTCAGCAGCAGCTGCTGCTGCTGCTTCTCCATTTACTTCCACTTCTTTTTCCTTTCCGTCCTCCTCGAAGTCTTCAGGCAAAGCCGGCTGAGCCAAAATGTGACAGCCCATAGACGGCCTGGGCGCCTGAACAGCAGCAGCAGCAACAGCAGCAGCAGCAGCAGCAGCAGAAACAGCAGCAGTAACAGCAGAAACAGCAGCAGTAACAGCAGAAATAGCAGCAGCAGCAATAGCGGTAGCAGCAGAGTTGAATCAGGTTCAATTTGAAATCATTTAAAATAAAAAAGGCCTCAAAAGTACTTCTCCGAGAAACAAACTTCAAAACAAAATCATTAAAATGGAATTCGAAACAAAAAAAGTTCTTCAAATATCTTTTAAAATTAAAAAATGAAAAGTCCTGGAATTAATTTTTCATATCGAAACTCTCTGCTGCAGAAGCTCTTGTGGCCAACTAAATAATTAAATTAAATTAAATTAAATTAAATTAAATTAAATTAAATTAAATTAAATTAAATAATTCAGAAATGAATAAATGAAAAAGAGTTGAATCAAATGCAAAATTAAACAAACTGATTTCCAGCACTGCACAAGAAAGCAAATAAAGTGCAGCTAAATGCAAAGCAAAATAAAAAGCAAGACAAACACAACAAACTAAACGAATCAAACAAACTAAATAAAGAAACTAATTAATTAATATAAATAAATAAATAATAAATAAATAATAAACAAGTAAATAATAAACAAATAGATAATAAACAAGTAAATAATAAACAAATAAATAATAAACAAATAAATAATAAACAAATAAACAATAAACAAATAAACAAATAAATAATAAGTAAATAACAAACAAATAAACAAATAAACAAATAAACAACAAATAATTAATCAACAAATAATTAATAAACAAATAGTAAATAAACAAATAAATAATAAACGAATAAATAAGAAATAAATAATAAATAATAAATAATAAATAAATAAATAAAGTCCCCACTTTGTAGCGGTGACACCTGGGGTCGTTCCAGCCAAAGCCGACGGTGGGGTTTGGAGTGACGCAAAAGCAAACTTCGGCTTCGTAGACTTGCGAGGACCTGTCTTCTTTCTGCAGCAACAATTAATGAATAAACAATAAACGAACAACAATAAATAAACAATAATAAATAAACAATAATAAATAAACAATAATAAATAAACAATAATAAATAAACAATAATAAATAAACAATAAGCAATAAATGACGAGTGATAAATAAATAATAGAGTAAACAATAATTAAATGCAGTTGATTAGGTTGGTTGGGCTTGGTGGAGTTGGAGGCAAAGAAGTCCGACGCGGTTTGCGTCTTTTGAGGCCCGCGAGAAAACGGAGCTCGTGGAGACTCGAGGTGAAACACAACAAACCCTAAACCCTAAACCCTAAACCCTAATTCTGAAACCCTAAACCCTAATTCTGAAACCCTAAACCCTAATTCTGAAACCCTAAACCCTAATTCTGAAACCCTAAACCCTAATTCTGAAACCCTAAACCCTAATTCTGAAACCCTAAACCCTAATTCTGAAACCCTAAACCCTAATTCTGAAACCCTAAACCCTAATTCTGAAACCCTAAACCCTAATTCTGAAACCCTAAACCCTAATTCTGAAACCCTAAACCCTAATTCTGAAACCCTAAACCCTAATTCTGAAGCCCTAAACCCTCGTTATTTGCTGGCTTGCGGGACTTCCCAACACTGTCCATTAGCCCCACCAAAACGCCACGAGAAGGAAACCATCAACCAATCAAATAAGCCATCAAACAAAAAAACGAACAAAACAAATAACCAACCAAATAACTAAAAAAGCAAATAACTAAAAAAGCAAATAACTAAAAAAGCAAATAACTAAAAAAGCAAATAACTAAATAGCCGAATAACTAAATAAGCAAACAAGCAACTAACCAAATAAGCAAATAAGCAACTAACTAACCAACTGAAGAACCAAACAAGGAAACAACCAACCGAATCAGCGAAGAGCAAGCAGCGAAGCAGCAGCAGCAGCAGCAGCAGCAGCAGCAGCAGCAGCAGCAAAGAGACGCGCCTGCTGGTTGGCCTCGAGCATCCACATGATCTCGGCGACTGTGAGCGGGTCGTTGCGCCAGTCCAGGTCCAGCCTGCACTGCTTGCGCCAGTGGCGGCGGAAGGCGGAGGCCACGGGCGCCCACTCCGCCTCCGACAGCGAGGCGTGCAGATTTGCAAAAGAATTGAACTGGGAGAGCCTCCGGAACAGCGGGTGGTGGACGCGCGCCGACGGCGCGGTGTGTCGGTACACCTGAACGCACCGCCACGCGCTCCCCACCAGTTCTTTTCTTTCTTTTCTTTTCTTTTCTTTTCTTTCTTTGCTTTGCTTTGCTTTGCTTTGCTTTGCTTTGCTTTTCTTTTCTTTTTGGGCGCTGGTTCGCTTCTTCTTCGGGTTTTCTTTGCTGCTCACCAGACACCCCAGTCCCCGCGAGTTCAAACGCCGGAAAACAGGCGAGTTCGCTCTTTCCAGATATTCAAAAGACCTTATTATTTCTTTTTATTTCACCTTATTTCATTTTATTTCACTTTATTTCATTTTATTTCATTCAGAAGATGCACTCACTCACAAGAATCATCTTCATGTGCAGCACCACAAGCCTACTTGAAGCATTTAAAAGCGAAATGAAATCAAATTAAATTAAACTACAATATATTCAACTAAATTGAATTAAATTAATTTGAATTACTTCAAAGCCAAAAACATCTTCCAACTCCACAGAAGGCGGCGAAGAACCGAAGATGGAAAAAGGATTCCACTTTCTTTGCTTTTCAATTCTCTTCCGAAGTATTTCTTTCTTGTTCAATTTGCTTCTGCTCCCCTTGCTGCCCTCCCCCGCACTGCTGCTGCTGCTGCTGCTGCTGCTGTTGCTGCTGTTGCTGCTGTTCCTGCTGTTGCTGCTGCTGCTGCTGTCTTCGGCTGCAGCGGAGTCGCTTTCTTCGCTGTCCAGCTCGAAGCACCAAGGGGCTTCCCTTATGTCTAGGAAAGGACGGTACACTCCTCCTTGCTGCAGCAACAGCAGCAGCAGCAGCAGCAGCAGCAGCAGCAGTGAATTGAATTACTTTGGCATTAGCTGCTGCTGCTGCTTCCTGCTGTTCCACACTTTGCGGCTGCGCCTAACAGCGCCTCTTTGCAGAACCAAAGTCACACCGCATCCAATCCAACTAATCAGCCAATTAAACTAATTAAATAATTAAATAATTAAATAATTAAATAATTAAATAAATGAAGGATTATTATTTACACTTGGTATTTCTGCAATGAGTTTGTCAACCATGAAGTAGTCGCCGCGTCTTTTCGCTCCCTCCTTTTTCGGCCCCAGATATTTTTGCAAAACTACAGAGCCTTCCATGAGCTGCAAAACAAACAAATTGCAACTCTTTGGTTTTGTTGTTTAGTTTTAATTCATTAATTTTAATTAATTAATTTTAATTCATTTAAAGGATTAATTGTAATTCGCTTTAATTAGCTAATTGTAATTCGTTTTAGTTAGTTAATTGTAATTTGTTTTAATTGATCAATTGTAATTCGTTTTAATTGATTAATTGTAATTCATTTTAATTAATTGTAGTTCATTTTGGTGGATTAGTTATTATTCTTTAATTATTTTTAACTGTAATTGTTTAATTACATTTAATTCTAATTATTTAATTATGATTATTTAGTATTATAGTTATTTACTTGTAACTATTTAATTGCAATTAGAACTCGAATGCTCAGCAGCTGCAGCAATTGAACTTTTGATAAGTGAAAATGGAAATAAAGTAAAATGCAGAACACACCGACGGGCAGTACATACACCTGAAAAGCCACGCGAATCGCAGCTCCAAAATAAATTCGAAAAAATAAAAAACGATTTATTAATTGAATTAATCTAGAAGGCAATTAAGCTGGAAAAGAATCAAAAAAAGAAATTAAAAAGCTTTTAATGTTTCTTTTGCAGCCAGGGCATGCAGAAAGCTGTGTGCGCTGGGCTCACGGGGAAAGCTGTTGTTGAGTAAAACGAAAAAACAAGAGATTTGAATTAAAGAAATAATTTTATTTTAAAATGTTGAATAATAAAAATAATGATTTACTTCTTCATCTTCGAGCAGCGGAAATATGTCGTCGGCGTGTCTGGACATCGCGGCGGCGCGGACGATGAAAAGTCCGAAGTCGAACTGAGGAGTGGTTTGAGGAAGAGGCTTGAGGACTTTGTGGTGAAAAACATTTGAATTGGAGTTCAATTCCGTTTTTAAATTCAAATTGACACTTCTGGAAGTCTGCGGATCGGCGGCGGGCGCGCGCGCGGCTTCCGCCGCAGCGTCAGGTGTACATACACCCGAAACCGCGCACTCAACGCCCGCGAACTTCGCCCGGCTTTCCGCGCCAGCAAATGCAGAAAAATGAATCATTTCATTTTTGTTGGAGTCTTGGGACTCTGGAAAAGACAAAGGAGCCTCCGATTCGTCTTTTCGAGCCTCTCCGGTAAAGGAATATTCGCAACTTGGCTCTTCCTCGCCTTCCGAAATTTCCTCGATTTGAACACAAGACGAAACTCCAGTTCCTTTTCTTTCGCCCCTCCCCTCTTCCACTCTCCGCAGCTTTCTTTGGGGCCCTTTCTGAAACGAAAAAAAAAGATAAAATCCCGAAAATCCCATTTCTTGAATTCTCAGGCATTGGCCCCCGGGTGTACAGACACCTTGTTCAGGAACCGAAACTCTCAAAGCTGCATGCAGCTCAGTTCTTTAACTCCGCACTTTACTCAAATATCAAAAAGAAATTAAAACTTCTTCTAAATCGAAATTCAAAAATTCAAGAAGTCGAATTTTGCTGCCGCGGCTCAAGAACCCGTCTCCCAGCTATGGGGTCTGGGGTGTACGTACACCCTAGAGTACACTGCATGCAGAATTGCAATTCTGTTTATTTTCATTTAAATGGCTTTAATAATTGTTTTGAAACAAAGAAAAAGAAGAATAAGAATTAAAGGGGACTTTACCTCTTTTCGCTTTATTCCTTCCCCAAACTCTGTCAGATCTTTTTGCGAGTTTTTTAAAAGTTCAGATTTCGAATTTCCTTTTCTTTTGCTGTCGTCTGTCTTAAGCGGCGAGAGCCCTCCCCTTTCAACATTATCTGCTCCTGCTGCTGCTGTTGCTGCTGCTGCTGGTGCTGCTGCTGCTCTTGCGCCTGCTGCTCGCGTGTCTTTTGTCTGTTTTCTGTTTTTTGCTTCTCTCGCTGCTGCGTCTTCTTCTTGTCTCCTTTTCCTGCAGCCGTACGCTGCTGCTGCTGCTGCTGCTCTGGAGAGGCTTCCACGGCCTGCTGCTGCTGCTGCTGCTGCTGCAGCAGCAGCAGGCGGGTGCAGCCGGGGGCTTCGCCGGGTGAGAGAGGCAGCAGCAGATTTGTTTAAACTTGTTTTGTCTCTTTGTTTGCTTTTTGAAGATTCCACAAAAGAGCCGCAAACTCGTTTGCACGGAGTTGCGAGCCGCAGGGACGCCTCCTCAGCCACCTTGCTGCTGCTGCTGCTGCTGCTGCTGCTGCTGTTGCTGCTGCTGCTGCTGCTGCTGCTGCTGCTGCTGCTGCTGCTGCCCGCGCAGGTGTCTTTGGCGGAGTTGCACTTTGAAGAGAAAGGCAGAAGTGGCTGGGGAGCGTCGGCGGGGCGAGGGTGGGTTTGCATGCGTTCGGGTGTACGTGCAGAGTGCATGCGTTCGGGTGTACGTACACCGCGGGGCTCGGCTGCAGCAGGAGCGACGAGAGCAGCAGAAAGGGAAAGCGAAGAAGAAGGCGCAGCAGTGGAGGCGGAGGAGGGCCGGGGGGGCGTTTCGGACTTGCAATGGGGACAAGAAAGGGAATTGTTTTTGCAAATTTGAAGAAAAATGTCGGAAATAGCATTTAAATCCTCTTCTTCCATCAAAGACTTCAAGTTTCGGAGCGAACTCGACACGCAAAACGACAGCGGGCTGCTTGCCGCCGAAACGCCGGCGCAGCGGCGCGGCTTCCCCGCGTCTTCTGGCGCTTCTTCCGGCCTCATTTTCTCCCAAAACTCCTTTAATGCTTTTAAATCCTCATAAGTGGCAATAAAAAGAAACAAAATCGCAAAAAGGACATCCGGAAACCCCAGATCGGCTTCGCAGCTTTCTGTGATCTGCACATGCAGCTGGGGTGTCTGCGCCTCCGCGCGGTCCCGAGGAAGAAAGCTGCGGCAAAAAGTTCGGAAAACTTTCAAAATTGCAAACAATTCATTTACTTTTCGAATTCTCCGGAAAAAAATACCCAAGGCGCCCGGAAGAGCCGCAAGTTGGGGCCCCCCGGGGGGTGTTTGCCGGCTGGATCGGTGGAACCCCCGCGATCTCAACTCCCACAACCCGCAGCGCCAAATTTTGATGCAAATTAAATTCAATTCGAATTAATTTGAGCCAATTAAGCCGTTCAACTTCACCCAAACGCGCTCTCCACGCGAGTCTTCAGCGCGCAGCACCAAACAACGCGGAACGTGTTCCACAGCAGCACCCACCTGCATGCAGCTGAAGCGCCGTTGTTTTCCCAATCAAAGTCGAAAATTCAAACAAATATTCATTTTAGTAGTCCTTTTAAACCCAATTAACTCCATTTCCTCCGCTTTTTCTCGAAAATCTGCGCATGCAGTGTGCGCGCTGCCGCCAGAACACCAGAGAACTTGAACTGGTGTTTCCTTTCTTCCCTTGCTTGCAACAGTCTCAAGAAAGAGCCTGCCTGCTAAATTTCTGCAACAACTTCTCTTTATTTGCTGTTATTTATAATTTATATTTATGTATAAATATATTTATCTGCAGATCTCCCAAGTTCCCGCGACGAATACAGTGTGTTGCATGCGGGTCCCAGCCAAGTCCACATTACACGTATTGGCCCTGCGCGTCTTGTGCTGAAAACGAAATATTCCGAAGTTTCCAGCGGCCATTAATGCATGCAGCAGCAGCAAAACGCATGCAGCAGCAGCAAATCGCATGCAGCAGCAGCAAAATGCATGCAGCAGCAACAAAGTGCATGCAGCAGCAGCAAAAGGGGGAAGTTCCCGCGAATTTGCGACCAAATCTTGCATGGTGTGCAGTTCACTATGCACAAAAGTGTGAATTGAAGTGTATACATGCACATGCATGCATTTAAATGAGGAAAAAAACTTTAAATATATATTTGAATTCCAAATTTAAAACATTTAAACCAAAAGAAGAGCCAAAAGGTGTTATTGAAGCTCCTGAAATACAGTGCAGAAAGCAGCCAGCCTCTGCATTCAGAAGAACTGCGTTTGCAGAGCCCCAAACCCTCGTTTCCCTCCAAACCCTAATTTAGGGTTTAGCACCTTTTTATTCAGCGTTTTCTACGCAGGAGTTCCCCTGCAGAAACAAGAACTCCAACAATAAGTATTTAATATTCTTTCCCAGCTTTCTTGCTTCTCAGAAAGAATAAATGCAGAACTTTTGTATTTAATTTAATTCAAGTTTTAAATTTAATCTTTCAAAAGCTTGAAACTTCAGCCTCAGCTCTGAATCATTTGCAAAAGACAAAACAATTTATCGTTTTATTTTCAAGTTTTATTTTCTTTTTTGTTCTCTTTCCATTATTTGGAATTCAAAAGAGAGCCTCTTGGGTTCTGATGAGTTACTTCTCGTTGGAATCTTGCAAGTGAATTGTTGTGAATTGAATTCTTTTGATTTGCTGCAGAAGAATTTCTTTTTAATTAAAATCTTTTGATTTGTTTGCAATTTATCGAAAATTTTTGCCTAAGAATGAAATAAAATTCAAAAAGTTGAAGTGAGCAGCAGCAGCAGCAGCAGCAGCAGCAGCGGCAAACTTCGCTGAACTTGAATTTCCAGTTTTCAGAGACGCGCTTTTCCCCATTGGCTGTCTCGCCTTTTCTTTTTCCAAATTTAAATTTTATATCATTTATAACTTTTTTAATTTTAAATCTTTTTCAATTTTGCTTCGCTAAAGCCTCCACGTTTCCCTCTTGAGGCCTCTGGACTGGCTACTGAACACCAGCCACAGCCCGCAAATCTTCCCCGCCTTCCACTTGATCTTCTAAATCCTTTTCGGACTTCTTTTCGAACTTTTCTGAGATTATAAATGCGTTTATAGATTTAATTTGTGGAGTGTCGCCAGAGATAGTGGGCCTGAGCTCCCGCAAGCCGGAAACTTGAACTCCGCACACACTCGGGAGTTCAAGTTCTGCTGCGCGGATCCATGCGGGTTGGTGCTATTGAGAAGATCCAGAAACCTCTGGCTTCAATTTAAAAACAATTTTCAAAGTTTTGAAAAGGAAAGAATCTTATCGGAGCAGCTGGATCCAGTGTAGTTGAATGCTCATGCACTGCATGGCGAACAGATCGAGCAGTCCAGCCTCCCCAGCCCTCGAAATCTTTCCTTTTCCTTCATACTTAATTCGAACTAATTTAAAACGCGAAACACATTAATAAGCAACTCTTTTAACTCCAAATAAAGCGAAGAAGCAGTGGTTTGGACTGCCGGAGCGACAGCCGCCGGGGCTCTGCGGCAACGGTCCCACAGCCACAGAGAGGCACTCCGCAGCGGCTCCAGAAGGAGAGCATTAAATGATTTTTCTTTGAATTCGAAGTTAATTACTTCTTTTATACTTTACCAATTTATTGCCATTTTAGGCTGTCGGGATCGCACTGCTCTTCAGACGCTGCTCGCCGCAGCTGGACTCCGCGATCCACCAGTCGCCCGGTGCGTCGAGATCGGCAAAGCGAGCTTAATCCGCGAAGTTCTTCGAATTTTAACTTTTAATTTGAGTTTATTTTTAGTTTTTATTCACTTTGAGGCAAACAGGGGAGCGAGAGCAAATGGCGTTCCCCGAGGACGCCGCCGCTGCCGCTGCCGCTGCTGCTGCTGCTGCTGACCCTCGAGGCGGCCACGTGGAAGCAGCCAGCAGCAGCAGCAGAGCCAAGGCGGAGGAAGAAGTCCTTGGCTTTTATCCTTTTCAAAGATCCCTTCGATCTGCAAAGGCGAAATTCCCGCGCGTGGCGCAGCTGAACCTGCTGGTTGTCTTGCCGGTGCTGCTGGCCGTGCTGCTGGCGCTGTGGAAGCTGGCGGCCTCCGTGCGGGCCCCCCCCGCCGCCGCCCCAGCAGCAGCAGCAGCAGCAGCAGCAGCAGAGCCTGCGGCGCTGCAGCCAGCTGCGCCCAACCCGCCAGAGCTGGGGCTTTCGCTGCAGCCGGAAAGCCTCAGCAGCTATGAACAGGACTACCTCAGCAGCGCAGCAAACTTCTCGAGGACTTGGAACGCAGCTTCGCACACAGTGAAAAAGGCCTTTGCTGCGAACTTCACTCCGCGGGGCCAGGGCGAAGAGCCCAAGGGGCCGGGCTCGCACTTGTACAACGAAAACGTGCGCGAAATGCAGGAGTTTATGCAGCTTCCTCCCCCGGAAAGCCCCGATCGCCGCAGAGCTTACGCGCTGCACTTGATTGCGTTGAGTTCTGCCTTCAAAGGCGCTTCGGAGTGCCTCAAAATGCTCGAAAAAATGGAAAAGATCCACCAGGAAACGCTCGCGCCGGTGCCGCTGCTGGGAATTCGACAAGGCGTGCAACTCCCCAGGGCGGGGGCCCTCGAGCACTTCCAGGGGCCCCTCGCGAGCGAAAAAGAACTTCTGGAAACAATGCCTGGCAGCTTCGAGCCGGGGGAAGCAAAAAAGGTGCCGCAGCTGCTGCTGCAGCGAGTGCAGGGGCTGCTGCAGCTCGAGCGGACACAGCAGCACGGCTTCCACGCCATTCACGAACAGTTCAAGCCGCTTCTGAAAGCCCTCGGATACAACTCTTCGCATTTGACGTTTGTAGATTTCCAAAAAATGGAGTCTTTCTGGTTTCCGTATCCGCAAAACATCTTCAACACCGCGCGCTTCTTCATGGAGTACCAGCGGCGAGCTGAACAGACAGACGAACCCGAGAAGCGGTATCAGGAAACTCTTTATTTCCTTTCCCATTCCTGGAGAAATGCAAAAGACCTTTTGAAAGCTATCGAGACGATGCAAAACAGTGCAGAGAAAGCGGCGGCGGCGGCGCTGCGCTGGAAGTGCCTCTTCGCCTACGAGATCGAAAACCAGCAGGGGCTCATCAACTTCGCTGATCCCATGCTTCTGGGGGTCTTTTTGCTTTGAAATTGCAAAACAAACAACCTAAATGGGAAAATAACCCTTAAATATGCTCGAGGGCGCAGGTGCTGCGGCGGACAGCCAGTTCCCGCTGCTTTGTTCAAGTTCTTGCACAGGCTTGAGTTGAGGTCCTTTGGGCTAATCTGGGGCAATTATGAAGTGCAAAGCTGCTGCATTTAATTCATTTCATGTTTTGATTTGCGTCAGTGCAGATTTGGCGACAAATGAAGCCAAAATGTCTTTCCCGAAACTTGAATTTGAGCTCAGAAGCTCCGGCAGGCGCTCCCGCCCTCCCGCCCCTTTCTGACCTTTTTCACCTGCAGTTAGCGTCTAAAGGGCATTTTAATTCCCATTTTGTTTATTCTTTTCTTTTAAATAAACAAATTGGCCAGCAGAGAAGTGGGAGCCGAAAAGCTGAGGCTTGAGGGGCTAATCCCCTCTTGCGGGTAGGGTTTTCTTGCCCAGCAGATAAACTTTTCACAGTTCAAGTGCGGCGTTTAGAATTGAAGTTTCTTTTTTTCATTTTGCTCCATTTTTAAGAATTTAAATAGCCATTTAAAGCTTTCTGCACTCTTTCGAATCCCATTGAAGCAACTAGGAAGACCAGAAGGCTCACAGCAAATGCGCATCCGTCACTTCGGAAACTAACTTCAGGACCCCCAAAAGTCCACTTGTCTAGGCGCAGCTGCTGTGGCTGCTGCAGCTGCTGCAGCTGTTGCAGCTGCTGTGGCTGCTGCAGCTGCTGCAGCTGTTGCAGCTGCTGCAGCTGCTGCTGCTGCTGCCAGCCCTGGGTAGTGGCTAGTTATCTCGAGGCGGCCGCAGTGGGCTCAAGCTAGCTAGCTGTCTACAGCTAGCTAGGTAGCTAGCTGTCTACCGCTAGCTAACTAGCTGTCTACAGCTAGCTAGCTGGCTGCAGCTAGCTGGCTAGTTGTCCATAGCTAGCTAGCTGGCTGCCCATTGGTGGCGGCAGCTGCCTGCAGCTAGTTGCAGCTGCCAGCAATAGATCTCGTTGAGGTGTCTGATCTGCTGTAAGCGAAGCTTTTAGTTGTCAGTAGGCGTGCACAAAGGAAAAAAAAGAAGCAGTATAAATTAAAACAGTTTAATTGTCAAGTGCATCGATTAAAATTTAGAAACGCGAAACAGGAGGGTGCGGAAAGCTTGGTAGCCGGCAAGTTGTGCAAGTTGTATGGGGGGAAAGCTGCAAAGAGAAAAGCTTCATCCCGCTGGCTAGCCAAGGAGTTTAATCTAATCTAATTAATTAAAATTAAGAAAATAAACTTTAAAGATATTGAATTAAGTGAAGAATTGATTTTTAGAATGCGTGGAGCTGAGTCTCGAGAGCAGGGCAACTCCATGGCCCGGAGTCGATGTTACTTCTTGCATTTCGCCTTTATTTTTGGTGTTTTGGATATTTTTCGAATTAGAAACTTTAAATTAAAAGAAATTAATTGAAAATAATTAATTGGAGGGATTTGGGCGTTTTCAGAGGCAAGACGCTGGGCATGCCACTCCCCACCGCCGCAGAGCGTTTCAGCTCGCGTCTTCCGCACCTCGGCACAAAGCGGTAATTGCCGCGAAAATGGAAAGACGCAGTGCCAAAATAACAGCTAATAATAAACTAGAGTTCATTTTGATGTCTTTTTTGCGTTTTCCGCGCGAGCTACACACAGAGTTGTTGGGGCTCCTTGGTGGATGGGTTGGCGCACACGCGGCAGGCGCAGCAGCACTGAAATGCGGCGAACTCGTGTCTGTTTTCCGTTTTTGTTCGTTCATTTATTTGTTTTGCATTTATTTAGATCTGCAATTCTTGAAGAGAGAGGCGGACAGGTCTTTTGGCCACAGATCACCCGCGCGGCGCAGCAGCTTGGCAGTGGCGGTGTGCGCATGTCTGGCGTTTCTGCGCCTTTTGCAGAACTGCCTCTGGAAAGTGAAAGTTAACTCAAATAAGAGAATATTGAAAAAGTAAATAAAGCAAACTTTCCAGAGTTCAAGTTCCAGCGAGCTCGGGACAGACTGGCGGCGCTTGGGGCCAGGAGCTTTTGAAGGACACAGTTCAACTTTTCGGGTCTTGTTTCAAGTCCAAAAAGCTGCAAACAAATCCATTTCTTTTTCTTTTTTTGCATTTCTCTCTGATTTTTTCTTCCTGACGCTTTGTGGGGCTCCTGGGGCTCCAAAGGGCCTTTGAAAAAGTCTAAAATGAATTATAAGTCATTTAATACAACAAAAAGAATTTAATTCCAAACTCCCAATCAAACAAATGAAGCAAATAATCCCCCTTTCCCTCTTTTGCCTCTTTGGCTCTCTTCTCTTCGTCCCCCCGGCCTCTTCTTGGTGCGATGAGGTAATTCAAATTCAACTTGTTTTGTTTTTGATTTTATTTCTTTTTAATGTATTTTCAAATTTGTTTATTTCTTTTTTATTTCTTTTTTAATTTATTTCTCCTTCTCATTTCATTCTTCTGTTTCTGCATTCTTTTGCCTGAGAACGCGCGTAGGTGCATTTCTCATTCTTTGGTCCCCGTGAAGTTCGAAATTTGGATTTACAGTTTTGTATTTTCCCCCTTAATTTGTTTCCCATTTCCTTTTAAATTTTATATTTTTATATTTCGATTTGTTTCCTATTTCTCTTTATATTTTTATTTTTGTTTTTAGATTTGTTTTCATTTCTTTTCTTTTTGGGTTTCCTCATTTTGGACTAGCTGTTGAACAGAGCCGGTGCTTTGCAAGTTCATTTCAAGTTTTCATTTCTTTTGAATTCTTGCATCTTTGCGATTTGTTTTATTTGCATCTTTTCCGTTATTTCATTTGAATTTATTTTTCATCTTTTCATCTTTCTCCTTTAATTGAATTATTATTTTTTCCGTTTTCCGTCCCTTTTTATTTCAGCTTTCTCTACTGCTGCTGCTCTTGGCTGGCGACTTGAATCATTTTGTTTCCATTTTACTTCCGTTTTGTTCTTCAAATTACAATTATATATTTAAAAAAAATTATTTTGCGTTTTTGAAATTAATTTGAAATTAGTTTCAAGTTTGAAATCAATTTGAAATTAATTTCGAATTAATTTCAAATTAAATCGAAGTTATACTTGAAATGAGATTTTATTTTGCTTTAATTTGCTGCTTTCGGCGAACTCTGCAGCTGTCGTTGAATTTGCAGATTGTGCAAAACGCTTCAAAACTGGACCGTTTCTTTCTTTTTTCCTTTTATTTTATTTAATTTTACTTTTATTTTAATTTAAATTCATTTTAAATTCATTTTTAATTCCTTTTAATTCCTTTTAATTCTTTTTATTTCCTCTTCAGGGCCACATGCTGGTGGCCGCCATTGCCAAGTTGGTTCTGCCCCCTGAGCTCACCAAAAGGATTGAACATGCTTTGTCCAAGTGGAACGAAGAATATCCAGGTAACAAGTAATTAAATTAATTGAATTAAATTAATTAAATTAAATTAATTAAATTAAATTAAATAAATTGAGTTAAAAGGTAGATGGAACTGACGTGAGCCGTAGCAAGTTTCCTTACTAGCTGCTGCTCGTTTATTCTCGACACTTTCGTTTAGTATTAAAATTTCATCTTTATATATATCTATATAAAATATTGTGTTAAATATATGCACATATATAAATATATATATATTTATGTAAATATAAATACACATATTTATCTTTATTAAGTGTGTTTATAAATGTATTTATGTTTACTAGAATTTATTTATAAATATATATATTTGTCTTGATTGGATGTATATACCTTGAGTGGACCTCTCATATAATTCTGTTTTTATGTTGCTGTTTGTTTATTTGTTTTCGTTTTTAGCCTGTCTTGCTCTGGCTGTGCAAACTAAATTGTTTTATTATTTAACTTATTCTTTTAATTATTTATTCAATTTATTTAATTACTTATTTTAGTTTTGTTTTTAAATTCAGGAACTGGAGAGATCGACACTGCGGCTGCTTGGCTCGACCATATTTCCTGCAAGAACCCCAGCCCTTACTGCTCTGGCTTTAAGGCGCAAGATGACATTCAAGTGATCAAAATGCAGATTTAAATGTTTTAAATGGCAAAAAGATGAATAAAAGGATTTATGAAGCATTTAAATGAATAATAAACGCATTTGGCCGTTCAAGCGGCCCGAGATTCCGGACAGAAAGCCCCGAGCTCGCCGCCATTTCCTCTTGCGTCTTTCAGGTTTTCCGCCTTTGGCATTACAGCACTCGCGTTTTGAATCCTCAAAATATCAAATTAAAGGACTTGTACAACTATTACCCCTTGCCTGGAACAGGTTCGTCTCGAGTTTCCCGCGTTTTCGAGTTTCTTGGATTTGCTTCAGTTTGAGGTGTACGTACACCCGAAAGAACGCCCGCGCAGCTCTCCGCGCCGCGCGGCGATCTGAATAAATGATTATTAAAAATTTTAAAATAAATAAATCAAATATATGTACTTCTATGTAAAAAGTGAACACTTGATGAACTCCCAAGCAGCAAAACTGGCGCTGAATTGTGGGGAAAGTGCAGCAGCTGTTTCCATTTTGCTGCAGGAGCTGAGTGGGCTCTGGAAACTGTCTACCGGAGCCTCAAAGAAGACCAAAGTGAACCAACTGCTTTTTCTTTCGCCAACGAAATAAAACCAAATTACTCTTTTGCTAATTCCCCCTCCCCGCCTCTGGCTGCCAGCAATCCTCCTTTTCCCGCTGCAGTGGACTCCAATCCGCAGCAGCAGCAGCAGCCACAGCTGACAGCGCCGCAGCAGTCACTGCAGCAAGAGCCACAGCAGCAGCAGCAGCAACCCCAGCAGCAGCAGCAGCAGCCCCAGCAGCAGCAGCAGCAGGAGGAGCAGCCAGTTCGGGTTTCGTGGTTTTCACTGAATTTGCATTTGCGGCTGCTGCTGCACATCTTCGGAGATATACACCAGCCGATGCATGCGGGGAGTCTGTACACCCGAGACTTCCCGGACGGCGACGAAGGGGGGAACTCGGCAAGTTGAATTTCAGTTTGTTTTTGTCGTTTTGAACTCTTTTTTTGCGGAATTAAGTCCATTAGAGCTCGCGGGGGAGAAGGAGTTCTTGAAATGTCTTTTTATTTTCTTTTTTTAATCCCAAAATGCCTTTTTTTGGTCCCGCAGATCTCCGTCCACCTCCCCGAACACCCGCACATCGCAAACCTGCACCAGCTCTGGGACTCCGCGGGCGCCGTTTTCAGAAAGCCCTTTCACAGATTCTCTTGGGACGAAATTCAAGAAGCGGTAAATCGAAATTAATGAAATTAAATCAAATTAAACGAAATTAAATTGAATGCAATTAAATCCATTTCCGAGGCCTCAGGCCGCGCAAAAGCAGCACCAAACGCTGGAAATAAATTCAAAAATTAAACTGCAAAAAAAGAAAAATCTGCTGCGGAGCTGCGGCGAGGCTGCGGTGTACGTACACCCGGGAGAGCTGCTGCTTTCCGGGGTGTGCGTATACCCGAGAACTGCTGTAGCTGCAGCAGCTGCAGCAATTCTTTTCTGGAGTTCATTTAATATCTCTTTTTGCATTTTTCGCAGGCTAAAGATATAATTGCTGAGTTCCCGAGAGAAAGTTTGTTACATAGACTTTCTGGAGAACTTTCGGGGACAAACTTCAAAGCAATTGCTGAAGAAGGATCCCAAATAGCCCTCACTGTGGCCTACAAAGGTTCGCATGCAAAACTTGCTGCTGCTGCTGCTGCTGGCTGCAGCAGAGTGCCTGAGTTGCATCTTTCTCCTCCGAAAACAGCAGCAGCAGCAGCGAGCAGCACCAATAATGACAAATAATAATAATAATAATGAATAAATTAATAATAATGCAAATTGGTTTGAAATGCATGCAGAGTTTGACTGGACTTCATTTTCGAAGGCCTCGCTGCCCTACCAGCCCTCGGCCTCTTATGTACAGACAGTGCAACTCACCACTCGCCAGCAGCTCGCAGTTGCCGGCTACAGACTTGCCCATTTGCTGCAGTCCCTCGCCTCCACCTTCCCAGACCCCCCGCAGCAGCAGCAGCAGCAGCAGCAGCAGCAGCAGCAGCTGTTTTCTTATGGAGGAGCTGAGGCTGGGGAGCTCGGCGCTGCAGCAGGGGGCTTGGGGGGTTCCCAGGCAGCAGCAGCAGCAGCAAAGGACTTTCAAAATTTGAAAAGAGAAAAGGAAAAAGAAATGAAGACACAGGAGCTGAGCAGCAGCAGCAGCAAAACAAACACAACACAGGGGCCCCCAATGAGTCCCCAACAAATTCCTCTTGTGGTCAAAATGGGTTTTGAAAAACAGCCAAGGGGTCCCCCAGTTCCCCAAGGCGGGGAGCCAGAGGGGGCCCCCCTGGGCCCTGGGGGCCCCCCGCAGCGGGGGGGGCCCCCAGAACTTGGGAGCCCCTGGGGGCCCCTCTATAACGAGGGGCCCCGGAGAGGTGGCCGGCGTTTGCCGAAAGATATTGCGGCCCTTGGGGGGGAACTGGGGGCGCATGCAGGGGGCCCCATGGTGACAGTTACGGAGTTGTGAAAGAAGTGGCATTGTTGGGTTCTTTTTGGCGAGGAGTGGAGGCTTTGTTGAGGTGTATAGACAGCTGAGGCGCTGGGCCAGTGGGAACTCCAAGAGGATTTAAAATTCCGAAATTCAGAAAATCAAAAATGACGAATTTGGGGCTGCGGTGCGGCGCACGGTTTCTGGGCAATCTGTTCAGCTGTATGTACAGACACTGATTTTCGAGGGTTCCTCCGGAGCTGCAAATTTGAGACAAAGTGGCGGCATTTATGTGAATTATGATTTATAAAACGATTCTATTTCGATAGAAGTGCGGGAAAAGGGGGAAAATAGGAGGTTCCGGAAAAGTTTGCATGTTTCGGGCGAGAGGTGTTTCCAACACACAAACGGGTCCCTGCGCATGAACACGTCTTTCCACTGTGTCTTTTTTGCATTTCTTTGGAAATTAAATTCGTTTTTATGTATTCGAGTGCAAAATTAAAATAGTTCGGTCTTGCGGAACGCGCGCGCGCTCGACTGCGGTGTACGTACACCCCAGTTCCCCTGCGATGTACACCCCAGTTCCGCTGCGGTGTACGTACACCCCGCAGCGCTGGACACGCGCACTGTACGTACGCGCAACGAAATGGCTTTTAGTTTGTTTCTTTGGTTGACATAAAGGACACAGATAACTTTTTTAGTGCGCAGAGAAAGCCCGGGAGCTTAATCCGAGATTGTGTTGGGGAATATTCCATGTTTTAGGTGAAAAAGGGCTCAAAAGGACTCACAAAGTCGCACTTTTAGGCCTGTTTGTGTTTGCATGCGTCTATTTAGGTATGTGGATCTGCTCATTATGCATTATTAGTCCGCAGTCGTGTTGAAATTCGCTCCGTTGATTTTATTTTGCATAAGGTGTTTTCACCGGCTTCCGCGGACGCGCACACAACCAGCCTGCGCCTCTGCGGTGTACGTACACTCGAATTTTCGCTGGCGCTTCGCCGCATTTTTGAAAACTTTCATTTCTTTGTTTCCAGGGCTTTGGAGTGGCTGCAGGTGCGGATGTACATACACCCTGTATATGGACGGGTGTATATATAAATCTGTGTGAGCAATACATTTCAAATATAGATTTTATATAATATATACATATTATACGTTTACATATATATATATTATATACAAATATATAGATATATATGTTTATGTATTTATGCTTATATTATATGTTTATTACATGTGTATGTGGTGTACATACACCTACTTGGAAGTGAAGCATTCTCATGGGGGCCTAAAGCCTCAAAAGGCATTTGTTTTACTTTAGGCCTTTTGTCTTTTATTTTCTTTACAGTGAATTCTCTTTGGATTTTTGATCTGCGCTAAGTCCCCCAGTCAACAACTTAGCTAGCTGAGCAGCTGGCGAAATGCCCTTAGAAGAATTCATTAGATGATTAATTATTTTTAAACTTTATTTCTTCAAAAGTAGTTGAGCTGCTGCGGTAGTGTTGCTGCTGCTGTTTGCTACCTGAACGGCTGAGGGCATGGAACTTTCTGCTGCATCCAGCGCAGCTAACTAGCACAGCTAGCTGCAACTAACTACGGCTAGCTGCAGCTAACTGCAGCTAGCTACGGCTAGCTGCAGCTAGCTACAGCTGGTTGCAGCTAGCTATAGCTAGGTGGCCTCTGTGGGGACTTTCTATGGCAGCTTAAGCTTAGGCAGCTAATTAAGACTTAGCACTGAATATCCAGAGGGGGCCAAAGCTGCAGCGGTGAAGAAGTCAAAAAGACTTCCGAAAGTGATTTCTTTTTTTAGACTCGAAACTTCTCACTTTGCATTTCTGGAGGCTCCCCAGAGGCTTCTCAAATGAAAGGAGGGACCTTTAGGAACTCATCTTGACAAATTCAGATGAGCGGTAGGCCATTTAACTTCGCTCATTGAATATGTAAATACGTATATATGTATATACATATATATATATATATATATATATGTACATGCATATATGTACATATATGTATATATATATGTATATATATATGTATATATATATGTATATATATATATATATTTGTGTGTGTGTGTGTCTGTGTGCATAAAAATGCATGCACTTGCGTGTGTACACAAATGCTAAGATATATGTATTCATGTTCTGCTATTCTGGGCTGTAAGTATCCAAAATTGCTGCGAGGCGCTGCGCCCAGCAGCACAAAAGCTGTTAATTGCAGCAAAAGTTAGAGTATGAGCCTGGCGGAGGAAATGGTGGGACTGGGAGGGGAGCCCTCACTCCTTAAACTCCTCTTCGGGGCCCCTGCTTGCGGGTCTTTTAGCCCCTGGGGGCCCCCTGGGTGGGAAGGCGACTTTAGTGAAAAGCCCCAGTCCACTGCATGCATGCGCTGCTGTGGCTCTTAGTGAGAGTGGCAGCTGCTGCGCTGCGAGGGGCCCTTGGGCGCAGCTCTTCTGGTTTGCTTCTTGCTGAGGAAGACAGCAGCAAAAGAGCAAAAGGGCCTTAAAATATGCCCCTTGTCCACACTGAGGCTCCCAGAGACTCACTAGGCATAAAAATAATCATATCAAGGGGATTTCGTCACTGCAATTCAATAAAAATATTATTCTTAATGCACAATAACAATCTGATAATAATAATAGCATGTGTGCTACCACGCAAGGTGCAGAAGCTCAAGCTGCGCAGCCGAACTAAAAACTGCCACTCGCCCCACAGCTATGAACAATAACTTGCAACGAAGACACACTCACTCAAAGACCTGCAAAGATCTTAAGCCCCACTGCAGAAAATGGGCCTCTGCAGCAGCAAGACTATTAGTACAGCAAAGAGTCTTCACTGCAAATAAATGCAAAAAGAGCAGCCAGTATTAATGAGAAAAAGAGAAAATCAAAAAATCAAGTTGAGCAGTAACTCCAGCCTCTGGGAACGCCCTTAGTGTTGCTGCTTCTTTACTTCTTCTTCAGTTGCGGACCGTCAACGATAATTTCTTAGCGAGGATATGTTGGGAACGAAAAATGAAAATGGCATTTTGAAGTACTTTGCTTTCAAGTATGAAGTTAAAGGGGCCTGGAGGGCTTCTCAAGGTCTTCAAAAAATCTGTCTCAGTGAAATAAAGATAGGCTTTACATAGCCTGGGGCTTGAGCTTATTAAGTATTGAAGGTAATCTGTTTTGCTGCAATGGATCTATTTTAAGGACACTGTAAATGCATGCAACTGGGAGTTGGTGACTCAAGGGCCCCACAGCAGGTTTCGTGCACTATCAAATAAGGGGCTGAAATAACAGCTGCATGGAATATTGTGATTTGAAGGCTACAAAGAGTACACAGTACAGCTTGCTGCCCGCAGCCCTGGTGGAGAGCAGCGTAACTGTGAGACGGGAAAAAGTCAAAGGCTACACTGTGCGAACTTCCCTTGGGTCGTAGGTGTGCAGCAGAAACTACAGCAGCAGCAGCAGTAGATGCAGCAGCAGCAGCACATTTGTTGCTGTGCGTGGTTGCAGCAGCAGCAGAAGCAGCAGACAGCAACAGCAGCAATCACGAAACGGAGAACGATAGAGCTATCACAGTATTCATCAGCAAGCCCTAAGGCAACAGGCTTCGTATCTACAGTGTATCAGCGGAAGTAACGTCTCTGTGGGGCCTTGCCCATTTTGCAGGCGACTGTCTTCCTGTATCATTCATCTTGATCTAATTCTGAGACTCAATTGGCATTTGAGAAATGCGGGAGCCTCTTGCTTCATTTTTTTCACTAAGTAGGGAGCAGATGGTTTCACAAAGGTGCAGTGTGCATTCAAGAAGAAAGAAAAAAGAGGAAAACCGGGCAAAGGCTGAGGGAGAAAGTGCATACGGCTTGCTGCCGGGACAGGCCGCCTTCATAGTTGTAGAGGAAAATTAACATTCTTAGATGAATCTTATCGGAGTAGAAGTTTAGCGAAAAGATGAACTCGCAAGCCAGAAAGCTAACAAGGCAGGAACTCATGCATCATCTCAATGGACTTTTGCAGGGAATAAAATCTCACAGCGACTCTCTCCAAAGTGGAGAGAAGAGCCTTCTTAGGGCACTCTGAAGTACCGTAGGGATAAATACTCTCTGTGATTTTTGTGAAAAACAAAATATATCAGAAAAGACGCAAGCTGGTGCCCCAAAGAGGCCAAATACACACCCTAAGCCAAGTTGGAATGCACTTTGCTTGGTGAGGGAGGCAGAAACAATAAATGTGGAAGGTAGCTCGACTTAAAAGCTCGACATTTCACGCCAAGACCTGTCCTTGCTGAATCTGCACCCTTCAAACAGCTGCCAAATTGCCCCCAAGGTCACTGGATCTTCCTGTTGCCTGACAAGTTTAAAAGAAATCTGTTTCTTTTTTCATGACTTTTGTCCAGATCAACTCTAACAAACAGGAGGCAGCTAAACTGCCTACGGAACATGGGGGCAGGCCAAGGTTGGTGTACTGCAGTCACTGCGCATGCAAAACACTCTGCAGTCATTTCGCATGCGACGTATGGAAGCAGCAGAGCTGTGGCAGGCGCTCAAGCTATTACACCAGCCGTCTTCTTGAAAGCAGCCTGACTTGTTCGTAACCAAACTTGTTTTTATTTATTCAAGGTTTGCTTGTGCTGCATCAATGGTTGACTTATGCTGCACCAATGCACTTAACACTAGCAGCAACCAGCCCTCGTTTGTAGCTAAACTTGCTTTTACTTCAAGCTTTACTTTTGCTGCATCAAAGGGTATTCAGAATGCCGCAAAACCCCAAAGAAAACATGGGACTAGAAGGGCCGGCAGGTCTCCCTCTGTTGGCTTCCCCTGTCTTGGGTAAAAGCCTTATTTCTTAATTCAAGCCAAGCATTCCTTTCAACTCTTCTTTAGAGTTCGGGTGAAATGCTGCAGTGCAGACTTGCAGAGGCATTCAGACTTAGTGGAGATTCGAAAAAAGCAGAACAAATAAAAATCTCTACATTTTAAAACTCCAACATATTTAAAAAGAACATCTCTCCAAATTTGTTTCTTATTGACAACGCCCCAAGACACTCCGGTGAATTCAGTCCAGTTTGCCTCCTGTGTGCTTCTCTTTTTTGGCTACAGCGGCTTACACCGAGCACTCTTCACCGAGAGAGACTATTATTATTATTATAAATCCAATCTTCATCACGTAATCACTACTTTAAAAGGAAGTGCATGCATCTTACCCTGGGAAACTGGACCTGGCCGCGCGACGCCGGAGGCGCTCTGCGCGGCGGTGAACAATTTCTTTTTTTCTTTTAATGCCAATCTACACATTCTGAATTTTAAATGACCCCGAAGTTCAATTTTTATTTACAGTATTTTGTAGGGGCCTACAGCTTCAGGCCCGCGCTCCCGCACTTTGGCTTCGGTTTGTTTTCCAAGATTTCCTTGACCCAGCATGCATTATTTACTTCAATATTTATTGCTTCTTGTTGCCCCTGAAGATATATAATTATTTTGCGTTTTTCCCAGCAAAGAACCTAACGGAAGTCTGAGCCCATGCTCTTGGAGAGAAAAAGTATTAAATGAGGATTTACAGAACTGCACATAATGCAAATCCCAAATTATATAATCGAAGAAAGAAACTGTTGCAGCGGCTGGCGCTGCGGCCTCTTTTCAATTAACATTTTGGTGCAAAAATTGAGAGAGAAAACAAAAATGAATTCAAAACGCATGCAGGGCTGTTTGAAAAGGCCTGCAAGAAGAGGCCTGCAGCAGCAGGAATTCGGAGTGTTGAATTAATTTTGAATTTCACTTTTTTGAAACAAAAGAAATATTCTTTGAAGCAGAAGAAATATTTGAGTGAGTCCCTAAGGCCGCTTTAAAGCAGCCCCAGAGAAGCCAAAAGTGGTTCCTTCAGAGCTGAGGGTCTCGGCCTTTTCTTTTATAATATTTTCATCACAATTTGGAGCAAAGAGGCCAGCTAGTGATTGCCCCTTAGCAGCACACTGCAGCAGTTTGCTGCAGCGGGCAGCAGCAGCAGCAGCTGCGCCATCAGCTGCAGCACTTTCTACACTTTTAACTGCAAAGGCTCCGGCTTGCGTTTTGCTGCTGAAGGGCTGAAAGCAAAGTCAAGAAGAGACAGGGAAGCAGCAGCACCGCGGCCCTCGGGAAGCTTTGCTGCAGTGAAACTGCTGCTGCAGCAAAGGCTTTTGCTGCCACTGAGACAGCTCCCGCTGGGGCCCCCTTGCTGCTGCAGCAGCTTTTTCTTGCAAAGTGGGCCCTGGGTCCAGCTTAGCAGCAGCAGCTGCTGCTGCAGCAGCGGCACACAGCGCTGCTGCAGAAGTGTTGTGTTCCCAGGCCCCTAGGGGCAGCAAGGCTTGAGCAGCAGCAGCAGAAGATTGCTGCTGAGGGCTCTGCAGCAGCTGCGGAGTCTTTGCTGCTGCTGCGCACACCTGTGTGTGCAGCTTCTTCCCCTCGGGGCTTTCTTGGTGCCCGAGGAGTGTGAAACAAAGTGCCAGCTATTGCAGTTAAAAAGTGTAAAATAAATAAATGAAGTGTGGGAGTTGTGGAGGCTTTTACGCGGCGAGTTGGGGTGTATGTACACATCAGAAACGGGCAGCACCGGTGAACAGACACGGCGGCTGCCTTCGGCGCCGCTGCAGCCGCTGGCTGCTGTCTTGTGCTTGAACTAGAGAGTTAAAAGAATTGGAAGAAATGTATTAAAGCAAAAAGAGTCAAAAGTAGGAGTTTTTGGGTGTTGCTGCTGCAGCGTTGCTGCTGAGTGCCTTGGTCAACAGCCCAGCCCCCCGCTGGCAGCACAGGTGCAGCAGCAGCAGCAGCAGCTGCTGCTGCTGCTGGTGTTGCAGCAGCGCTCTGTTTATCTCTTTTTCGTGTAATTAGCCCTCATTTTTGCTGCGAGTGTAAATTGGAGGGTGTTGTTTTGTGTTGGTGCTTCTGCTGCCGCCCTTTCTTTGCAAACTTAGCCGTGCGCAGGTGTATGTACACCTCAGCTCCAGCAGTTCCATGTCATTAATTCCTATTTGCTGCCGCGAGTTCATTTGAATTTGTTCGCCTCCCCTTTTCGATTTTTTCCTTTTTTTTGACTTTCTTCCCCAGCTGTACATACACCCCAGCCCCTTTTCCCGCCTTCCCCCCGCGATCTGGGGGGCCCCGCGGCTTACTGCGGATGCGGCAGGGGGCCCCTGAGCCTCTGGGGGCCCCTCGGAGGCTATTTGCTGCTGGCGAGCAGCAGCAGTTGCGCGGCGGGGGCTTATCTCTGGGGTGTACGTACACCTCGCTGCAGCGCCGCCTGCTGCAGGCCCCCCCCCTCCTCCTTCACTTCTTTTTCTTTTCCTTTTTCTGCTGCGCCCCCGATGGACGCGGAGAGTTCTTCGGGGGCCCTTCGCTCCCCGGAGGAGGGCAGCAGCAGGACGCTGGGGGCCTCGCCGCCTTCGGAGCAGCACAGTGACGGGCTCAGCAGCAGCAGCAGCAGCAGCAGCAACACCCACAGCAGCAGACACAGCAGCAGCAGCAGCCGCCACAGGTGCAGCAGCCTCGACGGCCGCTACTGGCAGGTCGGGAACGGCAAGGACGCGGAGGGCAGGCGCCGCTCCCGCCGCCAGCAGCAGCAGCAGCAGCAGCAGCAGCAGCAGGAGGCAGAGGGGACCACCCAGTACGGCAGCTCGGTCTCTGCATGCAGCCCCGAAGGCCCCAGCACTCCCGACGATGTTTCCGTCAGCAGCAGAAGCAAACGGAACGGCTCTACGCGGCAGCAGCAGCAGCAGCAGCAGCTGCTGCTGCTGCGGCAGCAGCAGCAGCAGCTGCTGCTGCAGCAGCAGCAGCTGGGGAGGCAGCGGAGCCGCAGCTGCGGCAGGTTCGAACCCAAGGCGTCCGAGTCCGAGCGAGAGCAGCAGCAGCAGCAGCAGAAGCAGCAGCAGCAGCAGAAGCAGCAGCAGGCTGAGGAACCTCGGGGGCTCCAGCGGTCGTCTCGGCTCAGGAACCCACCCAAGAGACTGGGAGAGGAAGTTGCTGCTGCTGCTGCTGCTGCAGCAGCAGAGCAGCAGCATCCGGCAGCAGATGCAGAGGAGCGATATCGTACACGAAGTGCCAGGCTGCAGCAGCAGCAGCAGCAGCAGCCGCAGCCGCAGCAGCAAGGCACTCAGCGTCAGCTTTCCCTACGTCAGCAGGCGTTGCGGACGCGGCAGCAGCAGCAGCAGCTGCTGCTGCAGCAGCAGCAGCTGGAGCAGCAGGAAGAGGAGGAGCAGCAGCAGCAGCAGGAGCAGCAGCAGCCGCAGGAGGACGAAGGCGAGGGTGACGATGACGAGCAAGCAGCAGCAGCAGCAGCAGGAACTCGGTACAGCTTGAGGGCCAAGAGAAGCAGAAGAGAAATCTTTCATGCAGATCTTCTGGCCAAGAAAAGCTACAAACCCTTGTCTGCTGCTGCTGCTGCTGCTGCTGCTGGGCGGAGACACAGAGACGGCAGCACGGGCGAGGGAGGGCTGCTGCTGGACGGGGAGGACAGTGCAGCAGAAGGGACTGACACAGCAGCAGCAGCAGCAGCAGCAGCAGCAGGGGAGGACGTGAAGGTGTGCAGCGAGTCCGAAGACGATTTGCTGCTGTCGGACGGGGAGACGGCGGCGGCGGCGGAGGCCGCAGCAGCAGCAGCAGCAGCAGCAGAAGCTGCTGCTGCTGCTGCAGCAGGAGCAGCAGCAGGCAGCAGCCAGTGGAGACGCCGCGGGGGCCCCGGGAGGCCCCGGCTGCACCCCCTGGGCCTCCGCGGCAGCAGCAGCAGCAGCTATTCAGTTCCTGTAACTTCTGCGCTGCAGGACTTGCGCCAGAAGATCTACAAAGACCCCAAAGTTGTCGAGTTTGCTGCGCCCTTCATGTCCGCTGCTGCTGCTGCTGCTGCTGCTGCTGCTGCTGTGTCAGTCCCTTCTGCTGCACTGTCCTCCCCGTCCAGCAGCAGCCCTCCCTCGCCCGTGCTGCCGTCTCTGTGTCTCCGCCCAGCAGCAGCAGCAGCAGCAGCAGCAGACAAGGGTTTGTAGCTTTTCTTGGCCAGAAGATCTGCATGAAAGATTTCTCTTCTGCTTCTCTTGGCCCTCAAGCTGTACCGAGTTCCTGCTGCTGCTG